AAATATTCCGTTTGGTGAGCACATGAGGTCGTTCTAAAAAGAAAAAGTTAGCAATCCTAAAAGAAGGAGTCTACGCGCTCAAAAAAGTTACACGTAGACGGGGAGAATAAAGTTTATGCTACGATGAAAACGCGCAAGCTAATAATTCAATTAAAATCTAATAAATTCAATCTAATAAAAATCGGCAATAATTTCGCCGGACCAAAAAACTCCCGTAAAACGAAAACTGAAAGCTTCCGAGGATCCAATTCGGAAAACGCTGCAGGACCCAGGGTTTTTGTAGAAAAATACACTTGGAACGTTGCCAGGTTCAGTTTTTGGTCCGTTTCTGTACACTTTACGCCAATTGCAATGCTACGTACCGGAATTTTTCTTTTTAATTTCAGTCTTTTCGCTAAGTAATAGTGAAAAGAAATTTTGACCGTTTTATTTATTAGTATTATTATTTTCGTAGTGTTTCAATGTGTTTGAAAAAAATCGGCAGCCGATATTTAGCGCCCCTTCCTTCCCTTGGGAGCTAAACTAACACCCTCTTGTGCTTCACGCCAGGAAAGACTGTGAAAAAGGTGTGATTTCCGGGAAAACCTCATTTGATTTTGATGCGTGTTCTTGAACTGGCGTTAAATACAAGGGGCGTTATCACAAGCGGAAAAGGGCGCTAATTACCGATCTGGCAGGCAAAGGTTGACGGCTAATCTATGATTTTCCAGGTGTTCATCATCCTGCTGCTTGAATACGTCGAAACGGGGCGGTTGTGGAATTTTCTGGTATCGTTTAAGCTCTCTGTCATATCTTTAAACTCTAGAGGCCCTATTTCGACGATTGCCAGCAGCAATTCGAGCGCTCTGTCGCCGTCGACGCGGATGTGGCCGAATGGCCAAGGGAAAACGTTGCTGGATACAAGGGTAACGCTTTCAAAATAGATAAAGTGCCATTGTTTCGTCAGTAGTCATTCATCTTAAAAGTAATGGTTTTCACGAGAAGATTTAAGAAAAAGACTGCCAACACGATTTTCACATAAGGCGATTCGTCTTCGTTTTCAGTTGGAAAAGTCATTGATGCCAAAAACTTAAGGTTTTCACGTGAAAACAAAAGAAAACTACCATTGAGGCTATTTTAGCTAAATTCTGACATTTTCTAACGATTTTTGCTACCGGAAAAGCTTCGAAAAGCCTTTGAAGTTAATCTAATAAGCTTTAGGCCGTCGAATCTCCTTCTCCGTGGCCGTCGACACCGACCGTTTGGCCCGTTTGAGCCAGCAGAGCTTGGACGAGGATGAGGTTTGTCTAAAATATCTGTTTTTAACACTTTTCTAGGTAATATCTAAGTTTTGCGCGTTAAATGAGTTATTTTTAACGTTTTGATGACGTTGAAAAACGGCGATTTGTTAATTCCTACATTTGATCGCGCTAAAAATCGCGCGTAATCAAAATGAATGAGTAAGCATAACTATGAAATAGGACCAAACCGCCATATTTTAGGAAAACCCGTCAACCGACCAAAACCCGGAGCTGTGCACGATTGGCGTTGATGCGGCGGCGGAGGCGGCGGTAATTTTGCGTCTTTAAATCGGCTCAAAAACTTGTTTATTTCCAGGAAACCGGACCCGAGATCCTCGTGCCGGGCCCGTCGGAATTGGAGGACATGCCGTTGAGGTAAAATTAAGGTAATTGAAAGGAATTATAGATTTCTTTAGAGTTGAAGAAGAAGCACCCGCCCCGCTACGACTCCGTAGAAGCAAGGCGGAAATGGGTAATTTGTTGAAAAGTTATGTTTACAGTTTTCGTAGACCCAAAATCGTTGTGCGACGCGCTGACGGAATGTGTTCGGCAGCTAAAATCAAAGAAACGGACGTGGTGGCCGGAAAATGGGATTCCGGGTGGGTTTAGAGCGCAATTTGGGTGCTTTAGCATTATCGAGGGGCTAAACCGTGGATTTTCTAAAAGCTGAGCACGCTTGGCAAAGAAATAGAAAGTATTTTATTGACGTTTTAGTCAATTTTAGCCGTTTTTGAAGGGAAGAAACTTTTAAAAACATAGAATTCATTTCATCTTACGAGGTCTAGGTCAAAATTCTTCTTTCAGCTCGAAAATCTAGTTTTTAGCGATATTTTGTATTTTTTAGCAAGAAACTAGGCCTTTTTCCAGAGAATCTCATCGTCCATTGGGCGGCCCAGATGGTCAGCGCCCTCTACGTGCTGCACACGAATGGCGAGTTTATTTGGTGAGTTTTTCGGTTTTCAAAAGCGACTTTTTCGGTTATTTTTGAGCATACATCTTTTTAGTGACCTGGGCCCGGAGAACATCTTGATCGGCCCCGATGGCAACGTCCTCATCACGTCGTACGCCATCTGGAATGGCAGGGAATACTCGGAGATGCGGCTCCGCCCGGGTTATTCGGCGCCTGGTAGGTTAACCGGAAAATTCAGAACGTGATTTTTTTCCAGAATTTTTTAGGTGCTTTTCGAATCTAAATTTTAGAAACCTTCCGCGCCTCATTTGAGCCGACCCCCGAGGCGGATATTTGGACGCTAGGCGCCCTGATCTACGAGCTGGCCACCGGACTGCCGTTGGCCCAAGCGGGGCCCCATGGAATTGGTAGGTTTCATAGCTGAAAAACGCCTAGAAGTTGCGTAAGTGGAGCGTCTCGTAGCTCTTAGCGCCAAGATAGAACCCCCACTGCAAGTGCATAAGCACCGAATTTCGAGTTTTCTCGCTGGTTTCTGGACTGCCCGCGTTAGAGAAAGACCATAAAAATGACCATTTTCGAAACTATTTGTGTTTTTCGTCAAAAATGTATGAAAAATGACCAAAAAGGTCACAATTTTCGGATTTTCAGAATTCAAAAAAGGTTTCTATAACTTTCTAGCAACTAAAAACTACTAAAATACATCATATGCTATGAAAAGTAGAAAAACAAAAAGTCGTTTGCCTCCGATTTCGAGGTTTCTCGACCGAAGGGCCAGCAAAGCTCGCAATTTCTCGACTATTCAGGTCGCCCATGCCTCGAGCCTCCCTTCCCGGCGTACTGCTCGGCGTCGCTGTTTTGCCGGGATCTCGTCAATAGGTAGGTTGCGTAGTTATTGTATTTTTGGCTCGAAACAAATCCGGATTTTTCGATCAAATTTTCCAAATTTTTACCTAGTTGACACTTGAAAAATTTTAATTTAATGGAAAAACTATTAAACTTTTAGTATTTCGTTACTAGCGATTTCTGGACTTACAGAAAAATTACCCCCCCCCCCCCTGATAACGCGAAAGTACCCGGGATTCGGTTAATCTGGAATTATACTTTTTATTGCTTTTTTAGACAAAAAATTGCAGGATTTTGCTGGAAGAGCCGGACGAGCGGCTGACACTCGACGCGATCCGCGCCCATCCATTCTTCGAGAGCATCCGCTGGCAACTCTACGACAATCCCCATACATCTACTTAATTTATCGATATGTAATCACTGTGCTTTAACTAATTAATGTAATTAATTTACTTCTTAAACCTTATACCTTGCCAAAATTTTTGATTTCTTATGGGTCCGCTCTTGACAGTCATCCTGTGATTATTTTTAATAACTTATCTTCTGCCTTACGGTTTTGTTACCTGGTGAATAAATTATAGAATTTTTGATGCGAAGCCATTACTTTTACTTACACATATATAACACGAGGCCAACTCCACGCATTGTCCCGTTCGATTGTCGATTCGATACACAGTTTTTTGAAACATTTTTTAGTAAATGGCAGTTGAGCGCTTTCTTATTGTTCCGAAGAAATGCTTCTTTTAGGTGGATATTCATAGCAATCCGTAAACCATAAGCTCTCTAACAAGGAGACGTTTTTGAGTGTCGTCGTGACTTTGCCATGGGACTAAGCCTATCTTGTGCAGAATTTTACGCTGATCCCGAATAGGTAAACTGTTTTTGTGGAATAGCCATTTCTCAAAAGTTATGAACGATTTAAACCTCAAAACAGCCCAAAATCGGCTACTTTCGATAGCCATAAAAGGCTTCGGAATAGGTTTTAGACAATACCAAATAGTGCATCTTGTTCAGAAAAAAATTCTTGATTCTTGAAAAAGGATTCCAAAGATTGCTTCGGAATTTTAAAATGAACGCGTTTTCCCGTCCAGACAGGGGCCTCAGTTTGCCCTACCCCGCCGCAAGTTTTTGGCTATAACTTTTATATTTTACACCAGGGTTGAAAAGCCGCTTCGCGACTTTTCAACCCTGGCCCCGTCTGACCCCGTTTTATCCTTCACTTTGCTCAAATTAAAACTCTTAGTATATTTTTCGACGCTCTATCGAATGGCGTTGCGAAAATCCCGACAAAATAAGCGAAAATACCGACAACTTTGAGACTCTTCGGCTGTGGGTAAAGTAAACTCTTACCCAGACAGGCGCTTGAGAGCATGCGGGGCGGTCGCGTTGCGGCGACACCTGGCTGTCATACCTTGGAATTCCCAAGTAATCGGCCAAATTGTTCGTACGGCCCCAAGGAATCCATTTTGCCCCCAAACATTTCTTTTTTACGCCCATATACCTCTAGAGATCATTAACGTCCACACGACCTCATCTTCGACGAGCATGGCCATTACAAGGAGCTGGACGTCTCCGGCGTGTCGGATGGACAGGGGCATGTAAGTTCGGCGGTACTGGACTGTTAGCGGGGAGGGGCGTGAGGGGAAACGCGCACCTTTTTTATAGTGTTTTAGAGCCTGTATCAAAATTCTGCCATTTTTTATAGCGTTTTTTACGGTTTTTAGATACAAATGGTCTATAAAAACTTTCGAAATTTTCGAAATTTTAGTTTTTGGCCAAAAATGCATCAAAAATGACCAAAAAATGTGCTAATTTTCGAATTTTTAAAAGTTTAAATTATTTTTTGTAACCTTCTAGCAATCAAAAACTACTAAAACCAGTGTCAAAATAAAATATTTATTGAGTTACGACTGATGTATCGAAAAGCTAATGCTTTTTAGCACGGCAACTCGAACGTGCTGCGGGTGATGAAGGCGGCTCGCGGGATCCGGAAGCTGGCGATGATCGGCGACGCGACACTCGACATGGTTGCATGTCCACCGGCTGATCTATGTATTTGTTATGGACGGTTTAATGTGAGTTTCTGGGATTCCGGGAAGATTACAAGAAAAAAAAAGAAAAAATGACCGGAAAAACTGGGCTGTTAGCGGGGGGATTTCTAGCAAGCGGAAATCAAATTTTTCCCAATAACCCTATACCAACATTTCATACAGTTTCTTGGATATGAAAACCGTGTTAAAAATTCGTTGAAAGTTACGAAATTTTCATTTTTTGTTCGACGTGTTGTTCGTTTTGTTTCGTTCTCCTCCCCCGCTAACAGCCCAGTACCGAAAATTCTAGAAAGACCTGCTCGCACAAGCCGTCGCGGATTGGAACTTGCTGGATATGGAGGAACTTACCAATGCATTATAATAACAAAAAAATCTGTAGAATATAAAATTGCAACTATTCGAAAATGAACAGCTGCAACTCTACAAGAAGCACAAAAGCATTCTTGCGGTCCGATGTGAAGATATTGTTTAGAAAGCCGGTCAGAATTGGTGTTGCGCCATGAATTTGGCCCTTGAAAAAAATTAAAACATATTTTCTGGACCGTGACCTAATTCTTAGCGACAAAATGTTTCTATCAAGTTAGATCCTTTGCGAAATTTTATTTTTTGCGAATATGATGTTTACGGCGAGCTTATTTCAGTATCCGATTTGCACGTTTCTATGCCTTTTAAGGAGATAAAACATTTTTTTTCTAAAAATTTTGGTTTTGCAAGTTAGGCGTAAAATTGGGCCTGAATATTGTGTAGATCATAGAGACCATTATTCACTATTCTTTTAAATACAATTATTTCAGTAACGCGACGGCCTTCAAAATAAATTTCCGGACCGCACGAGTGCCCAATTTTTACGATATAGGTATCTATTTGTGGATCATTGGCTCGATTTCCGGCATATTTCATGCCAAAAGTACACGTTTGAATTGGCTCAAGCGCCATGCAAGATGTGTTTTCTAAAATAGTCTGCAAAAAGCTGTGGTTCGTAGTATCTGCAAGTGGGGATCCGACTTTTCTTATGCGTCCAGCTTCCATTGATTCAAACAACATTTTTCAACGCTATAACTATATTTAAAGTCGCAAAAACTGTCAAAAAAAAGTTTGCAAGTCGAGCATGTCAATTTCGAAAAATTTGGCGGCCCTGTATCGCTAAAACGCCGTCAACCAAAATACCGACAGCCAAAATCCCGAAAACCAAAATACCGACAACTTTCGACAGCCAAGACCCGACAGCCGAAATGCCGACAGCCGAAATCCCGACAGGCACAATCCCGACAATTAAAACACCGAAATCCCGAAAACCCCGTCTACTTTACTCCTGAAAGTCAACATTCTTTATTTCCATAGTTTCGTAAGTAAACGACACTCGCTCTCTCGCTCTCTCACTCTCTCTCGCTCTCTCTCGCTCTTTCTTTCTCTCACCCGCTCCCACTCTTTCTTTCTCCCACTCTCTCTGACTCTCTCTGACTCTCCGACACTCACTTTCTCCAAGTCTCGTTTTTCTCTTCTCGCTCGCTCCCTCTCACTCTCGCCCTCTCTCTCGCTCTCGCTCGCTCTCTCTGTGTCTTTCACCCTCTCACCCTCTCTCTCTCTCTCTCTCTCTCTCTCTCTCCGTTCTCTCGCTCTCTCGCTCTCTCGCCTTCTCAGCCTCGCCCTTCTCACCTCTCTGCCTCACTTCACTCTCGCACTCTCTCGCACTCTCTCTCTCTCTCTCTCGTCTTCAGCTCTCCTCGCTCTCGCCTTCAGCCTTCGCCCCTCTCTCACTCTCTCGCTCTCTCAGCCTCACTCTCTCGCACTCTCTCGCACTCTCTCTCTCTCTCACTCTCTCGCTCTCTCAGCCTCACTCTCTCCCACTCTCGAGTCACATGAATTCAGCTTCAAGAGCCGAGCCCACAGCATCGAACTACGATTTAAATTTTGAATCGTGAAACCTGATCGGAATTTCTGAAAATTCAAAACTTTGCTATTTCCACAGCATAACGTCGTCTAGAGCGGTCGCTCCTCCCAAATGGTGAGTGGCACTTTAAAAATATAGTTATGCTATTTTATTAAAATTCAATTCATGGAAAATTGTTATTCCAGAAAATGACGATCGCGACGTTGTTCGGGCTCGGACTGCTGGTGTTGGCCGATACATTGGGTAGGAATTACAGGCGGAAGGATCAAAATAATGGGCGCTTTTCCATTATGGGGGGGGGTTGCCTCAAACTTTGCTAATATTTTCCAAGTTCATGTTTCTAAATTTCTAGTTTATAAAGTGAATTTTAACTTTCAGAGACCGCAGGCCCGCCCGTCTTCCAGAAACCACCGCCAGCGTAAGATTTAATTTTTTAGTGGTGCTGTATTCTTAGCGGGGGGAGGACGGTAGTTGTTTTTCGATTGTTAATACTATATGTTTTTAGTGGGTTTAGATTGATAAAAAATTAAACAAAAGACGTTGAAAATCTTTGAAAATGCCAAAGTTTTTCATATATTTTTGATCAAAAACTAAATAAATGCATCATAACAATTGAGAAAAAAAATAAAAATCAGGAAATCAGAAAAAATAAAAAATAATAAAGCATTAGAAAAACGGGCAAAAAGTCAAACGTTTTTAAAACATTTTTTTGTAACTTCCTGGCCTTCAAAAAACTACTACAAACAGTATAGAGTCTTATCAGATAAGAACAGGCTCGAAATAAATTAAGTTTGCCCCCCCTCCAACAGAACAGTACCCTTTTTCGTAAGACTTATAAACGCCGATAAGAAATCCGCGAAGTGATTATCGATACCTGAAATCACGTCATGTTGCAACGGTCTGCAACAAATATTTTGACGATTTTCAGTGGCCGTACGGGAATGGGTTATGACTATCCTTTCATCATCCTCATCAGCGTCCTTCCATTGGAGGTGCTTTTTCGATTTCCGCTAGGGTCTCTGCTAGCTTGCCTGTATCCCATAGCGTTGGGCTTTAAGGGCACGACCTAGCGGGGGGCAAGCGGATGTCAATGATGTCAATGTTAGCGGATTTGGGGGAGGATTCGAAAATAACTAGTGTTTTCACAAAACCAACTTTTGAAATTTCTTTTTTTGTAGTTTCCATAATCATTAATTTGTAAAATTTATTGACTAAAATTAGAGGACGGAATTATAAAATTAGGTCCTGTCCCTACTCCCCCACGATAATAGCCCAGGACCAACAAAACTCACGTTTTCTAAGCAGCTGAGGCCAAAAAAAACAAATTTTAGGTTCAAAAACGTAGCTGCCATAAATGGTCGATTCATATTCGACGGGGATATAATCCAGCCTAGTACCTACATCCTGCACGAGCTGAACCTCACTCGTTGTGGCACGGGAAGGACGGAGCAGGGCGATGATGATGGAGGGAAATCGCAATTTTTGGGTGCTAGTTTTTTGATGTTTCATCTAAGGCGATTTACGCGACTGTACTTAGGCACATAGTCAACCCCACGGCCCTCGTTACCCATTTTTCCGCAAATAGTCACCGCTAACTGGCCTATTCTCATCTACAAATTAGACACTGGTGAAAACCGCTTCGCGGGCTTTCCAGCAGTTTTTGCTCAATGTAAGATAGGCTCCATTTCAGCCCCGAAAACGAGCGTCAAGCAGCGCACCGCGACTACCGTCCGCAACTTGAAGGTATGTTTCAGGAATTGCAGCTATCACTATAATTGCAGTACTAGGCTATTTGCGGGGGAGGCTGATTTTCATTTTACGCCAACCTTTCAATAATATATAAATAATTTGAATAGTGTTTAATAGTAATTTTCTAGTTTTTGATCAATTAGGAAGTTCTAAATATAGTTGCAAAATTTTAAAGTTTCAAGACTTCTTGATGTTTTTTAGTAATATTTCTGCCAAAAAACCAACATTTTCGAAAATTTTTGATGTGCTTTTGATGACGAAAAACCGTGTAAAATGCCATAACGGTCTATTTTCCGTCTAGGGCCTACGGGATTACGGGCACTCTCGGCTAATAGCCCAGGGCAATTAAAAATTGCTGTTTCATCTTATATATATAAGATTTAATGTAATATATAATTTATATAAAGTCATCTTTTCTATCCAATATTTCATGATTTTTCATTTTTTTATTTATTGTTTATTCAGGGCACCACCTCGCGCCTCTCCCGCCAGACGGCCAAATCGTTGAAAAAGCGCTGATCTTCTCCTGTCGATTCGAAAAATGGCCACCAAATTTGCATAGAAGCGTGTCGAATTTTGATTTGGGCTTTGAATAAATATATGGATTTTTAGAAATCCTTCAAAAAAATGAGTTTTCGTGATTTTTCACGATGATGCGCCTCGTCGGTGGTGTTTTTCTCGTCCTAGCCCTAGGTCAGGAGTTTTCGGTACTGCTCGCTTAGCGGGGGGGGCTAATTTTGTTGGTTTTTTCGCCTATAATTGTGACAATATATAATGTATTTCTATAGCGCAGTTTTAGTAGTTCTTAATTGCTAGATGGTTTGGAAATAGACATCTAGAAATATTGAACATTGAAATTTTGACATTGTTTGGGTAGTTTTTGATACATTTTAACCAAAAAAAATTTTTATATCTAAAAACTATATACAATACTATGAAATCGTTTTTAGTTTGTGATAGAGTCGTACCGGATCACTGGGGAAAATTTGCCATGCCCCCATTAACTGAGCAGTACGAATTTTTCGGTCTTGAAAATTCGATGTTTCGTCAAATTATATTGTTTCGGCTTCTCTTTTTCGGGCAATTCGCAGTAGGTAGAACCATCCAAAAAAGTTGGATCTCTTGTATTCCGATTATTTTTTTGAAGTACTTCAACGCAGGGTTTCGGGGGTGATTTCACGTTATGACACGTCACGATTTTCTAAATACCAAAGTTGTGAAAAAGGCTTAGATGCAGTTGGTATATGTCGGCTACGCGGGGGGGAAAATTTTACGCGGGGGGGACGGGACAGGCAGGCCTCTTTGGATGTTTTCGTTATTTTCTCGGAATTGCGCAACGGCATCCGATAGAGCATCGAAAATATACTAAGAGTTTTTGTTTTAGCTACAATTAGTGTAATATAAAAAATTTATGGTAAATACAAAAATAAGCTTTGAAAATCGGTTTGAGCGGCTGTTTTTCAATATTCGCGCTATTTTTTAGGATATTTTAAAGATGCTATTCGATAGAGCATCCAAAAATATACTAAGAGTTTTAATTTTAGTTCAAAATAATGTAATATAAAAAAGTTATAACAAAAACAAGTATTAAACGTTGTTTCCATGGAGGACATAGAAGGGAAATCAAATTTCGACATTTTCGACATTTTTACAAAATTTCTTTAGTGCTATTCGACAGAGCGTCGAAAAAATATACTAAGAGTTTTGTTTGTTGCAAAAAACGTAAAAAAATAGTTAGCTCGGCCCCAACAGTCCGTCCCCGCGTAAAATTTTCCCCGGCGTAGCCGACATATACCGATGCAGTTTACCCTCATCCTCACTCCTTCAGCCCGGCACTCACCTGGTCGTATTCGGGCTTTCGAACACGACAGGTGTAAAGTAGACCAAAATACTCGCCAGAACAAGACGAACATTTTGGTATACTTTACACACCTGTAGATGAACAAGGAGCCGGGATACAAAAGTTGGCTTCCGGCGGGGCGGGGGGTGTAAACTGCACTCTAACCTGAAATAAATTATCAATTTTGATTTAAATGAAAATGCATTCCATTTAATTTAAGCTCTAACCATTAAAATATTTTTAGCCCTGACGATCGGCGCCGCATCGCCTGATGACGAGGCGGAAATGCCAGAGATATTCGTCCCAAGATGTTAGTAGATTTTCCCCTAGCACGTCTCTTTAAAATCGCAAAGCCTGCCGTATTTTGCGGAAAATATTAAAACTTTTGCAGATTGCGAGGCGGACGATTTTTCGGGGGATTGCGAGACGAGCTACGCCATTGGGGATGAGTGTCGGTGGTTTTAAAAGGCTTGGCACGGCAAGGTTTTCCTATGAATTTTGAGAAAACCACGGATGCGAGCGATTATCAGAATTTGCAAAATTTTTTGAATATTTGATGAAAATGGGTTTTACGTTTTACAACTGACAATTTTTTACTTTTTTAAATATGGAAAATATCGAATTTTTCGACAAAAAGCCGATTTTTGGCCAGCATTTTGACTGTAAAAGTTTTGCAAAGGTTTTAGTTAGTTTTCTAGTTGAAACATAGTTATATTTTACTGAAAACTCAAAACACTGCCGATTAAGTAAGTTGGCATTCCTAGACCTGGACAAAAAAGTACGGTCCCCCCCCCCGATAGTGCGAAAGAACCACCCGTAGAGAGACACACGCATTAATGCAATTTTTACAGTACCCGATCCACCAGACGCAGTTCCGTTGGACCGAAAGGCACCGCCAGTGATTTATGGTTTTCTCAGATTCTTAAAAACGACCAAGGAAAACATCTAGACGAGCCGAAGCCGTTGTCGCGGATTACGGTAGAGGAGTTGGATGGCCGCCAGATGGATGGGGAGATGATGGACAGCCGAAACGCTACCTCCACACCCATCAACAACACAACACTACCACCCGAAATTCCCGAATTCACCGGCGACAAGTTGGTCAAATTTTCGAATTTGAAAGATTCATCTAGAAGTCGGTAAGGGTTTACTTTACCCCCCCCCCCACAGCCGAAGGGTCTGAAAGCTTTCCGTATTTTCGCTAATTTTGTCGGGATTTTCGCAACGCCATTCGATAGAGCGTCGAAAAATATACTAAGAGTTTTAATTTGAGCCTACAATAATGTAAAATAAAAAAGTTATGGCCAAAAACTTCCGGCTGGGGGGGGGGGGGTAAAGTAAACCGTAGCCTAGAAGTCAGTCGAAAATGGAATTGCTGCTTTCGGAGAGTGCGATTGCAGAAGAAAGTTTCTGCTTTAAGGCCAATTTTGATGAAACTCGAATTTTTCTCCAAATCTATCTTTTTGTTTGTTTGTTTGTTTTTTCAGGGCTAAAGTCTGGTCCCTCCCAGCCGTAACTTTTCGGCGATACGTCCTATTAACGCGCCGAGTATCTCAAAATGTTCGCCGTGGTCGAATTACTATAAGAAAGTGGTTTCCTGACGCCAAAAATTGTTAGAAAATTTTTTTATAACAATTATAAGCCTGGGTTTTCTTTAATAATTTTTCCTGGTTCAAAGTGAGTTTTCGTATCTCGGCTATTTTTGGACCTACAGAGCTGTCAATGGTACCAAAATGTAGCTCTTGGTCTGTAGAACAGGGCTACAGTACCCTTGGGTCGAAAAAAATAGTTTTTTTTAATGCTTTTTCAAGTTTAAAGCTTTACCAGAGGCATTTTACGTAAGACCACAATTTATGTACTCATAGCGTTTCCATTATAGTAAACCCTTTTCGATACTCGGTGGATTAATAGACTTATGGCTGGCAAAAATGTGACGGGGGAATTAGACTCTTACCTCTTTCAGAAAAGTGCCCGTGTTTGTCGTGACGGTCACCTGCTTCACCATGGCCGCGCTTGGATGTGTTGGTGCGTTTTTTAGAATTTTCAAGAGAGACAGAAAGCGCATATTTTAATAAAATTAAATTACAGTTTTGCACGCTTTTTCGAGGGATTTCGAAAGACGGCAAAATTTTAAGGATTGACTTCTCCCTAAACATATTTTTCTCCAGTGGTGACACTCCGCTCACGCGCCGACGAGCGACGCACACGTCTCGCCCAGGAGGCGCTGCGCAATCAGATTACCCGCGAGGTCCAGGCGCACCGTGATAGGTCCTGGTTCTTTTGCATTATCGGGGGGGGGGGGGTAATTTTCTGTAAAAGTCTGGTAAGATTTGGTAAGCTAATAGCAGGTAAATTTGTAGTGTTTTTGGCAAAATAAAACTATATTAGTACTAGAGAAACGAGCTAATAGCCATCAATTAAAAAAAGTTACATTTTGGCTTAAAATCAATTCCGTCAAAAAATCGATAGTTTTAGTATTTTTTAGGTAAAAAATTGTAATGTTTTTACTTTTAGGAATCGTAAATAAAAGCTTAGAAATGCTTGCACTATTTAGCCTCGCGAAATTGGATCCTAAGAATAACTACTTTGTAATTAGGAAAACTGAACTTTAAATTCACAAACTAAATTTGGCCATTTGCCATGGAAAAATATTTTTTAAATTGAAATTAAAGTTTTCAATTGAAATGCGCGGAAAAATTAGGCAATAACCATGAATTAGCTATAAAGCCAACCGGGTTATTTTCAGAAAACGCGGCGAGCCGAAGCACTCCTCAAAAATTGAGGGAAAGACCGGCTCGCAGTCTCCACAAAAAATGACAAAAACCGCCAAGCAGATATCGGCCTCGCCGCGAAACATTCCTACCGGTACGGCGAATTTTTTACCGTTTATCTGGATACTTTTGCAGTACGGGGGAGGAGCTATCGAATTTTTTTCTGGAGGTCCAGAAATGCCTAGTGGTAACGTCATAGTCAGGATTTTTAAAAAAATTTCGAAAAACTAGGAATTTAAAAAATTCTAAATTTATTCTGGGTTCTAGTTCTAATTCATTTGCGGGGGGGGGGGTTGATTCCTCCCCAATCTCCCTCACCCCCCCGCTGATGAACCAGAACCCTTCCCTCAAAAATCGTCCATTTTCCCTCAAAAACCGATATTTTTGTGGTTTTTAAAAGTATTTGGATTTAATAATAGCAAAAAACGTGCGGTAATAGTGGTAAAAAGTATCAGGTTGGAACGAAAGTTCTGTCGCCGAGATTTTGGAAGGCTGGCTAAATTCGTAGATAGCTCCATTCTGCACATGCGATATGTCATTTTGTAGCTCTCGGCCTGAATGGTCCCGGGAGGAGGATCCTGGGCCCTCAAAATCAAGAACAGCCGAGATGCAGACTCAAGAAGATTTTCCAAAAATCACGAGAAAGTGTTTTTGCAAGTTATCTTCGCATCAGGACATTTGCATGCGATCCCTTTAACGGCAATCGATAGCTCTCGAGGAGTAGATATCGATAAATCTTGAGATCATCAAAATTGGACACTGGATCGCCGAGATATGGCCTCTTGAAATTTGGCCCATTTCTTAGAACTTTTCTCGATTTCCCATAATAGAAGTGGGATTTCCAGAAATAAAGCGGTAATTTTCGGCACCTATCCGTCAAATGTTTGGAAATGTATGGGATTCTG